CACAAAGGAAGATGGTTGTACTTATTGGAAGTCAGTCATCTCAGTTCTGCGGCATCACAGCAGGAGTTCTCAGAGTAGCGTCTGAGGCCCAACCATCTTCAACTACTTCATTAATGACCTTCTCTATCAGAAGTGAGGATGTTCAGCGATGATTGGACAATGTTCAGTGCCAGTGTGATCCCTTAGACACTGAAGCAGTCTGTGTCCACATGCAGCAAGATCCTAGCTTGGGGCTAATGAGTGACAAGTGATATTTATGTCACACAGGTGCCGGGCAATGACCATCTCCAAACAGAGGGAATCTAACCATTGCCCCTTGGTGTTCAGTGCACTGATTCTCTCACTATCAACATTTTGGAGGCTGCCATTGACCAGAAACTGAACTAGACTAGCTATATAAATACTATTAATAGTACAAGTACAACAGCAGGTCAGATGTCAGTAATTTTATGAAGGGTAACTCACTTCCGGTCCCCACCAATATCTCTTGAGCGTCTACAAGGTACATGTCAGGAGTGTAATGAAATACTCTCTACTTGCCTGGATGAGTGCAGCTCCAACAACAATCAAGAAGCTCAACACCATTCAGGAGAAAGCAGTCCACTTGATTAGCACCCTTCACCCCCTACACTCATTCACTCCTTTCACCTATGATATACAGGGACAGCAGCGTGTACCATCTACAAGATGCACTGCAGTAAGTTGCCAATGCTCCATCATCAGCACTTTACAAACTTATGACCTCAGGATAATGACAACAAATGGTGGGATCACCACCACCTGCAGGTTCCCCTCCAAGTTACATACTATCTGACTTGGATATATATATCACCAATCCTTCACTGTCATTGAGTCAAAATCCTAGATCCCTCTTCCTCACAGCACATGTGTGTTTTTACACTCCACGGTCTGCAGCAGTTCAGGAAGATTATTCATCACCACCTTTTCCAGTGCAATTAGAGATGAGCAATAAATGCTGGACTACCCAGTGATGCCCACATTCCATGAACTAATCAAATGTAAGTAGCCTTGGTGATTTGTTGCAGTGTACTTTTTTAATATGGCACACACATTGTCCATGCTTTGGCCTCTTTGACCAGTTTATGTGTTAAAAATACTTAAGTGCATTTGTCAGTGAGGAGGACAAAGAGACACAGACTTTGGTTTGCACTCAACTTGATTTTATGAAGAAAATCTTCCTTATTAAAAACACCATGTGAGCATTTCCAAATTCCCACAATATTTACTCCTTATCTAGCTCTATCTGTCTAAGAAAGGGTATTACCCACAACAATTTACCCGTTTGAGCAGGACCATTAGAATCTCCTTCCTCTCTGATGTAAGGTTGGCTCTCACCACCTTCATGGAAATCAGAAGTCTTCTTTCTCTCTCCCCAAGTAGTTAGAACTTCGCTACTGGGCCAGGTTGAGTCTTCACTGAGGGTGAGCCTTCCAGTTGTGTGTTCTTATCTCCCCACCACTACCACCAGGCCCCCCCGACCCACCCCCACCCACCCCCACCCCCCACCTTGCACCAGATCTTCCAGTATGTTCTGTGGCCTTTGACCTATGGGTTTGCGCCAACATTCTTCAGTCTTCCTATGCCAGGGAAGTGTAAACTGTATGACTTCAGGCACTGACTGAAAGTCAAGATACCAGAAAGTCTGATCGATATTTCTCCAATTCACAACCCTCGGACTGGTTGTAACTGGTTTCCTCTGAAAGTTTGTAATCTCTTTGACCTTGGTTTCCACTGTCCTCTACAGCTGATACTTGCTGGCTGCTATTTAATTTATTTTGGCCAATTTTCTGTCAGGTTTGATTTCTCCACCTGTGGCTCAATCTAGAATGTCCAATTTTGGGCCTGCAGTCTCTTTACCGTACATTTTTATAAATATAATTTTTTTTAAATATATGTCCTTATATTACTGGCAAGTTTTGTTCACATTTCCTTTCTCCAGCTCTTATATTTCCTTGTGTTCTTTCTTGTTTTGCACATTTCTTTCAATTTCCTTGGTAGTTGTGTTAGACACTTCCTTTATCTTTTTACTGTGTCTAACCACATTGATGATCATGAGATACGAAAGTTTGTTCTTTATTGTTATGTGCAAGTATTGTGTTGTATTAAATGCTTCCTTGGCTCCTCTTGGTGTTTTTTTGCAGGTTTATCTGTTAACAAGCACAGCCCAATTTTACATGATCAGCTTAATTTTACTTATCGTTAAGCTTTGCTTTTTGTCTGATTTTTCTCCTTTGCAAACTTAATATCAATCATGTTGTGGTTATTGCAAGGAACTCCCTTACGGTAAGGTTATTAATTAATTCCGGTTCATTATTCATGACTAACTCTGATATGGCTTGTTCCCTTTTCAATTATGCTTCAGAACTCTCCTGGATACACTAGAAATTCATTGCCTTTACGGCTTGAGCTGGTGTCATCGAATCACAACTCCTGATGTATCTCATCTCTTGTTTGATGTCTTCTGTCTGTTTTCTTTCCAGGTCTGAAGGTGTTGTTTTCTTGCTCCAACCAGATTCCAGGGATATTAACCTTCTTCCACTTGTCATTCGTCAATTCTTGAGTCCAGATGGTGAATGCTGATTGGCTACTCAAGCATGTTGGTGGCAAGCAGTGTGACAGCTGAGTTCACTCCTGTCCTCTGTTGAGGCTTTCTTTGTATGAGTCACTGGTTGATTTTCATCTTTTTTTAATGAAGGAAGCACTTCTCCACATACCGCAGCTGAAATCTGCTAATTCAGGCCAGTCTGGCAATAGAACCTGGTACTTCCTGTTTTCTGTCACTTCTTCCTATCCTTACTCTCTACTTCATTCTATCTTGGGTTCTGACCTGTGCTATGACCCTTTGCTGTTCACCTCAATTGTTCAGAAAGGCAAAACCATACCTGCTACAACATTTCAAAAATAGCAGAGAAAGCATATGCAACCCAGGTCTAAATGAGTGAGTTAAATTAAATATGAATATAAATACAGTAGTATGCATCCAAAATTGTTTATAATACATGATACAACAAACTGATAAGTCTGATTTAAAAGGAAAACCAAATACTGGGCTTTATAAATGGGGCGTAGGACAGCCCTTTGCCCACCACATCTGTGCTGACCTTGATGCCATTCTAAACTAATCCCATCTGCCTGGTCATGGTCTGTATCCCTCTATTTCCTGCCTGTTTGTGTGTCCATCTAAATGCCTCTTCAGCGTTGCTGACATATCTGCTTCTACTACCTCCACTGGCAGCATGTTCCAAGCACCTGCCACTCTCTCCATTAAAAACTTGCCTTGCACATCTTTAAACTTTCACCCTCTCACTTTAAATCACCATCTCCCCCGGTCCACTATTTGACATTTCTGTCCTGAGAAAAAGACTCCAATTATCCATCCTATTTGTGCCTCTCATAATTTTACATACTGCTGTCAGGTCACCCCTCAGCCTTTGACACCCTAGTGAAAACAGTCCAAGTTTGTTCAACCTCTCCTTATATCTAATAGATTTCAATCCAGACAACATCCTGGTAAACCTCTGTTGCACTTGTTGGAAGGTCAATAACTGGAGGACACTAACTTAAGGTATTTGGCAAAAGTACTAGAGGGGAGGTAAGAATTTTTCTCTGCATTTCCCTCACACAGACATACCTCAGAGCATGTCACAAGACAATGAACAAAAACAGACAACAAGCTAGGGACGTTGAGAATAAAAATCACTGACTGCTCCTTTTGTTCCTCTTCAGCCCCTCAGCATAGATATTACGCCCTCTGCAATGCACACTAATGTCTCCGAGTACACGTTAATCCCTCAAAGTATACACTAATCGCTCTGTGTCCACACCTGTCCCTTTGGGTATACACTAATCTCCTTGTGTACACGCTAATCTCTCTAAGTATGCAATAATCCCTCTGAACACACACTATTCCCTTTGACTATACCCGAATCGCTCTGAGTATACACCTGTTCCTCTGGGTATACGTTAATCTATCTAGTTGCACATGAATCCCTCCAACTATATATTAATTCCTCCGAGTACATCCTTTACCTTATGCACATGCATTTCTTTTTGACATATTATTCATTTATGGGGACAGCATTCATGTCATTGGAGTAGCAGGGTGGCTCAGTGGTTAGCACTGCTGCCTTACAGCACCAGGGACCTGGGTTCAATTCCACCCTTGGGCAACTATCTGTGTGGAGTTTGCATATTCTCCATGTCTGTGTGAATTCCCTCTGGGTGGGTGGGTTTCCTCTCATAGTCCAAAGATGTGCAGATTAGGTGGACTGACCAAGCTAAATTGCCCTACAATGTCCAGAGACATGCAGGCTAGTTGGATTAGTCATGGGAAATGGGGGGTGGGTCTGGGTGGGATGCCCTTCAGAGGGTTGGTGAGGATTGATGAGCCTAATGGCCTGCTTCCACACTGTAGGTATTCTGTGTACATTACCCCCTTTTTGTCTACTTTTCTATGTTTCCGAAACATTGCAAATGTAAGTACCTTACTGTCGATATCCGTGTATCTCAGTCTCGGCCTCCATTGTTGGACCTCTTTTGATTTCCCACTTCAAACCACCCAGGCAAATCTAACAACGCTTTACTTATCCGCGGAAGATGTTTAATAAGCAAACATACTCAAAAGAAAAGGGTGGGCCCCCATTTGTTGGTACGTTCATGACTTTTTATCCAGGGTTGCAGTGCCCTGGACGTTAACCTTGGATGCCTGAAGACTCCAGGCCAACATCAGCAATTGACTAACCTTAATTGCGATAGATGGGGGATCTGGTAGTTCAGAATGGATGGAGTCACTGTTTAACTTGGGGCGTGGGGTGTGCACAGGAGAAGCCAGCTTTAAGGAAGTGGGGAATTAGGAACAGATTATGAGCCCTGTATTCAAGAAACAGATGTGGCTCCCTGATATTTACAAACCAAGACACACAGCAGTCAAACTAAGAAAAGAATTGGACGATGTGAGCCAATCACTGGGCACATCCTGCTGGCGAGAGTCGTGTGTCTGCTCGGTGACATACAGGAAGGTTCATACTCGCTGCAGCTCTGCACAAAACAGCCCCAAGTACAAGCTCCAGCTACGGCTATCTGCAGCCTGTCCTGCTGTAACGAGGGAGAAAACATATGGTGAGTGTTTGCATGCATTCAGTTCATTCCACCGTTTGATTCAGAGGCAGGTTTTCTCTTCGGCGACAAAAACGGAATTTTGCATTCTCCGTTTGTCAATTAAGTGAATAATGAGAAGATTAAGGCTGTTCACAGCTGAGTGAGGTCGGATCCGGAGGATGAGTCTGACAAGAATGAGACAGCCCAGTGCATGGGTTACAAAGAGGTTTCGCTCTGCACAGGCTTCCATTGTCTCGGCTCTAGCCCAGTCCCTTCTTTCATTCAGAAGCGGACATGGCTGCTTTTCTCAGCCGCTTGCATATGATTTCCTATAACCGGATTACTCCCCTTGGTTTTACTGATATATGAGGGGGATGGGGAGGTTGGGAAGGGGGGAGGTGCATTAATGTTTCGGTGCTATTTGCTGTCAGTGTTAGTGATGTTAAAGGGGCTCCCATCATTGCAACTGATGCCCAAAGCGGTCCTGGAGCTATGGAGCCAAAATCATCAGACGGGGCAAAAAGTCAGATCCGGACCTTGCTCCCCTGCCCGTTCCCATTCAACCCCTTTGCCATCGCCATTGAAACTCTGGCCGCCCCCATCGATCCCCTGTCTACTCCCATTGAGCCCATTGCCCTCCCCCCATCGAACCTATTATCTGCCCCCAGTGAACCTATTAGCCGCCTACCGTGAACCCATTGTCTCTCGCCCCCCCCCCCCCCTGAACCCATTGCCCGCTCCTACTTGTGCCCCTGGCCACAGTCGCTGACCCTGGCCTCTTGGTCAACACGAACTCCTGATCTCAGAAAAGGAGTTGTCTAGACTGACCAAATGTCAACTGACGTTCGTACAGTACAGCTAACAGGCGGGTGTGTCAGCTAGCTCTTATGTAGAATTGAGTGCGAGGGGGGGGGGCGGAAACATGCAAAGAAAATACCCTGTAACGACACTCTCCAATCATGTTTTAAAATGGAAGCTCCATGATATTCGCAAGCATAGCATGAACTGAGAGGGAGACTCTCGGGCATGTACCCGGGTATGGGTTTTAGTGATCTGTGAGAGTTGTACGGCACGAATACTGCATTAACGCCTGGCTGAGAGAGTGGGAAATCAACCCAGCGTCCCAATGGAAAGGGGGGAATTTATGAATGTTGAGTGAGGACAGGGCTGGGCTCTATTGTGATGACTCTTATGATTAAACAGCCTGTCAGTATCGAATGCAATGAACGCTTGTGTGAGGGGCAATGTCTCAGGATTGGTGCCCCTGCCCCTGTGAAAAGAAACGGTTTTCAGCAGAAAAAGGAAGATGACCAATGCAATGCAATAGCTCTAGTCTCCCTTTTGGGGTCGGAGTCCCAGTCTATCATTGTTTTATGTTACAGTCCAACCATAAATCAGTACCTCTCCTGCATCCAATCAGGCAGTATCTTGGAACCATACACATCATTTACTTTGATGTTTGGAGCCAAACGGAGCCCGTTTAAAAACCATCACTGGAAGGCACTGAACACCATCACATACTGTACTTGTCAGCTTGCACGCACAGCCGCTTGCCAGCTTATTGTCCCTGGGAGGTGCGAGCCCATCTCCTCCGCACAGTTCTGCTACCTGGCTTCTGCCGTCAGTCGCTGCTGTAACCTGAGCCCGGGAGGTAGGAGGCTCTCACTCTGCCTTCCTCCTCCAGCAGGCTTGGAAGGGTTTTTGCATGGAAACTGATGATGTATTGTTTGGTCCATCTGTCCCCATGCGGAAATTGTGAAAAGGAGCTTGTGTGTAATTGATATGATTGTGTTCCGCCTATCTGAATGTATCTGTGAAATATTAGTATAGAGGTGTTTGTTTACATGTGCAGATGCACATTTTGTATGGATTGTGCTGGTACACTGTGCACGTGTTGTGTGTCCAATCGTACATGTTACTTGTGCCTATGAACAGTGCGTACGAATCTAATGTGTTTGTATGCAGTTGTGTGCGTTGGAAGGTGCGCAGTACTAGTGTACATGTTTGTGCAGAATATACACGTTAATGTAATCTTTCCTAAAGCATGCAGGTGCAAATTAACGCAATATGGATATCTGTATATGGTCTACCTCCGTGTATGTGAGCATGTGCATATTTGCCCAAATGTGTGCTGGGTATGTATAAATGAGCATTGGGTACGTGTAGGTGTGCAATATCAGTGCATGAGCAATGACAGTAGTTCAGACTGGGACTTTTCTGATGAAGGGTCTAGGCCCGAAACGTCAGCCTCTCTGCTCCTATGCTGCTGCTTGGCCTGCTGTGTTCATCCAGCCCTGCACCTTGTTGTCTCAGACTGGGACTGGGTGCAGTTTTTAAGAGAGCAATGTAGTGTGTGAGGCCAGCCAAGTATCCCTCTCCAGATGACTGGGTGCTGTTGAACTGTAGTGCAGAGACATCTTGGTTACTGCTAGGCTTAGCCGCACACTTCAAATATCATAACTGACATCAGCAGCAAGAGAGTTTTAAACCCCACCAAACCCACCACAAGGACTTCATGACAAGATCTCCGGCCCAGGCAAACTATTTTCAATCAATTTCCAGGATCCGTATTGAGCACACTCAACAATATTTTTGACCACCAGCCCAGCATCAGCTTGCAAACATCTGAAGGGTCCCGACCCGAAACGTCGACTTTCCTACTCTTCTGATGCTGCCTGACCTGCTGTGTTCTTCCAGCTCCACACTATGTTGACTACATTAAACATAAAGATGGGATGATTATAAGGACTGAAAATTGCAGTGGTAGTGGAAGGTAGCATGATGTATCTCTATCATCAAATTGATTTCTGTTTCAAAATGGTATGTCTGTCTTGAAATTAGCCAAACCCTTGCTAGGAATCTCTTTATTAAATGGGGTAGTAATTGCACGTCACCTCCAGTGACATTTTATCCCGTGGTGAGTGAACAGTTGTCAAAATGTTATACTGGAAATTTTACTGTGGAAGGGAATGTGGATTTTCAGAGATTGTACCTAGCGTGGTGCTTTAGAAATTGTGGGGTTTGGGATTGTCAGGAGTGTCTTTTTTTCTTTCAGTGGTCCGAGCAGGAGAGGAATTTGAGGTAGGGCACATGCGCCCAACTTTATTGCTCTTTACTGCAAAGGTACTTGTCATGTGTGGAAGAGTTAACTGTCTATACTATATTCACTGACTCAGGAATGAAGGAAATATATTGGAGATTTGCTGTCTTCCCTGGTGTCTCAAATAGGCTGTGAATGCATTTACTTGTGATACAACTGAAGAATTATTGAGTTCTCAGCATGACACCTGCTTTGTGTCTGAAGCCCAGCCAATTCAGCTGTACGTTTTCTGTGGTGACCTCTTTAGTCAATGCTGGATTCAGGGCGACCTCATGATTCCAGATCCCCAGGAACTGCAGTGTTTTGCGACAGTGTTCTCGGGGGACGATGACTAGTCAAAATCCTTGCTGCTGTTCTCCATCCAGGGTTGTGGACAAGTTCCTGATCTCAGGCTGCAACTCATTGCCATGGATTCTGCATGGGTGACCTCCTTCGGGAACGTGATCAAACCCAGACACGTCAAATACAGGAGATGACAGGTGGTTGAATGAAGGAAACCACTACCCCAAAATTGTATAAACCTGTACTTGAAGCAAATTGAGTTTCCTGCCTGCTCACAGTTAAAACAAACAAGCTGTGAAACATAAGCAAGCAAATCTGTAGGAGAGAAGAGCAGGTATCTCACCCCTCATGTCGCAACACCCAGTACGAAGGCAGCATATGTGGCAACATTGAAGACAACTGCCCATTTGAGCCTTAGGGTTCCATTCAAGAACCAATGAGTCACTGAAAAATGAAACCAAACATATCGCTTAGCCTCACTGACTGAACCGTGCTAACAGATATGTCTTGTTTTTGAATTGGGGGCCACAGTTGACCTCCTGGGAGACCCAATGACCATTATTTATTGCTGTCTGTATGCTAACATACTCTTTGGGAAACAACATTTATCAACTTTTCCTTAGTGAAATTTGCAACCGCATGAGTTGTTAAGAATAGAATCATGGATTCAAAGGGAAGCTAGATAACTACTTTGAGCAAGAAAGGAATAGAACTATATGTTGATGTGGTTAGGTGTGGTAAGATGGGAGGAGGCTTGTGTACAGCATGAACACAGGCATAGACCAGCTGGGGTGAATTGCCTGTTTCTGTGCTTTGAGTCCTAAGGTTTTACCAGTCTTTCCTCACCGACCATTGTCTAGTTTTGTCTTGGAATGCTATGGTGTTACAATATTGGTTACGCCAAGGTGCATTACAATGTGTTTTAAATGTTGCAAGCCACAAACAGCTTTTCCTGCTGGGTTATTCTGATGGTTGAGGTGTCAGGCCCAGATCCCATGGGCAAATCATTTTCACTCTGCGCGGCTATGAAAACCATATTTACAACCAAATTGATCCTGCCCTTCATCTCTGTCAAAGCAGTGGCTTAGTGATGACTGAGTCGGAAGGTTGTGGTTGAAATACCACTCCAGGGACTGGGTCCCAAAATCCAGACTGATGCTTCCAATGTAGTACCAAGGGCGTGTTGTAATGTTAGAAGTGCTGCCTTTTGAATAAAGAATTGGATTCAATGCATGTTGCCATTGAAGTAGTAACTACCCATAGTCTGGTCAGATGGGAGAGACTGATGGCTTGTAGTTTAAGAAAAGGCAGTCTCGTTTTTGCATATTAGTCTCTGTTGACAGTACACATTTCCATTGAAGTAACAACAAGGGTGTTTTAATTGATATAAAAAGTAGAGATGATGAGTTTTCCAAGAACAAGATCCTTACATCTCTAGGATCACCAAGTCCTGCTGCCAATTGTAAGGATCTTTTGTGGAATCATAAAGAAACAAGATTACAGAGTGAGTGAGTGTCCATTTAGTGTTAATATGGCAAGTAGTTAAGCAGGTGATTGGGTTTAATTGATTGGGCAGATATAAAGGGGGAATAGGATTGAGAGTCTTGTGATGCAGTGGTAATGTCCCTACCTCTGTATC